GCAACTTGCAGGTGGTTATATTTAAGTGGTTTTATTTTCTCTTCACGTAATATGCTGGAATGTTTTTTCTTTCTTGGCTTCTTGGATAGAACTTCAAGTGTAAAGAAAAGCAAGATTCGGCTCTCCCTCATTCTTCCTCTGTTCTGCGTTGGTTTGCTGGTGAAGGAAGTATCGCAAAGCACGGGGAAGAAGACTTACGGGCTGAAGGATACGAATCAGTAGAATCGCAAGGTGTGCTCTTCGGTGTATCTCGGTGTAGAGAAAAGAAGAGAGTGAGAAAGTGAGACTTTCTCCTACAATTATTATTGTGTTCAAACGGTGTAAATTCCCCAATTAGTAAAATCCTCTGCAACTCCGTGGATGTAGGCAATTTGCCGAACCACGTAAATCTGTGTGTTCTTTTCTGGTGTGATTTTTCTCGTGTCATTTTTTTTTTTTTCACTTCGTCGTCGATCGTTTTAAATTTCAAAGTTAACACAACATTGGTAACCCGGCAACTTATGAAGGCGTTCGATAAGACATTGAAGAAGATGAAATGGGACAAGGAAAAACAATAGATGAATGCGGCTGGACTAAATCAGGAAACGATTCAATTTTCTGATTACCATTGTTTATAGAATGAAAGGGAAATATGGATTCATAAAAAACTAACATCCCTTGACTTAAAAATTTATTTATTCTTAATTTCATAGAGAAAATCTATGGATTTTGTACGCTCTACTTTGTCACTTTCTTCCCAGCAAGGCAGATCTGCAACTCAATCCATTTTTCATCCATTATTTTGATAATCCAAGGCTGCTTCTTATTTTGTCAACTAAATGGTGACAATTATGCTTCCCGGTGCAATGAAATGCTAATTACATTGTCAGTGAAGAGCTCTGCCTTGGATTCATAGACGAAAAAAGCTCAAAACTTAATTGTATAGATTCAAACATTCTTTTTTGCTTGCATTCAAAGCAACAATATTATAATGACTTGGATCTTGAATTCTATCTCAAAGGAGATTTCAACAAATGTCTTACTCTCTGATGTCATAATATAAAAGTGAATATAACACTGGAAGAAAAGTTTCTTATATTTCTGTTTCAGTTTAGACACATATATACTTTCAAGAAAACAGCAAAGTAACCATATATAACGAACTCTTAACACATATACACTTTCATTTTTTCAATTTGAAATTCATTCAAAGTAGAAAATTTATTTATTTCATGAAATTGTTTGATAAAATGAATTGTTTGAATTATTCAACATATTTAGAGAAAGTAATTGAATTTGTTTCATTTTATATCAAATATTCTAAAAATTAAAATGCATACGTATTTCAATACAACACATTTATAATGATAAATTTAGATACATTTCACACAATTTTACATATCTAACATTGAATTTTCTAAATTTAGATACATGTCACACATTTATAATGGTAAATTTAGATACTTGTCACAATTTAACGGGAATGACTTTCTTATTCACCACAACACGAAATAAGAGTATGTTGGACGTCTGTCATGCAGGACGGGAATAACTTTCTTCTATGCTGCAACAAGAAAAAAGATCTCATAGGTCGCCTCCTACACGGGATGGAAATAGCTTTCTTCTGTACCACAACACGAAAGAAAATTTCGTTGGTCGCCTGCTATAAAGGTCGAGGATAACTTTCTTATTTCGATAGCAGAATACTCCACCTCCACCCTCTTTGTTCTTTTGGGTCTGAATTTTTCTCCTCTTTTCTTCTCCTCCATCTTCTGAATTTCTCCCCTCACTTTGACATCTATTTATAGACTAAAAAATCCATCATATTGATGATAAAAGTATTTTAAAAAAAATTAAAATTTACATTAATTCTCTTATCCTTCCTGCTTCTGGCCATTGGCTTTCCATCTTTGGTCTTATGAACTTCCACATTCTTCATTCCAAATTTATTTTAAATAAAGAACGAACCCACGTACAAAACATATAAATAAAATGGATTCCTAATAAAAGTTGAAGCTACGATTTGTCATATATATGATAGGGATGTCAAAAATTAACCCGACATACCAACACAACTCGAACTCGCCAGAAAAGTCTAGGTTATGGCTGACCTAAATATTTTTCGTGTCGGGTTTGGGTCAGAGAATTTAACTTGTTTATTATTCGGGTAGGGTTAGGGTTGAACCCTAAAACCCATACATGGCACGAATAAACACAAAAATTCTTGTCGAGTTAAGCTTGGGTTCGAGTCATGTTAGGCTCTTAGTTTTCAACCCGATTAGCATCTGGGTCGGATTTGAACCTCCCATTTAAGGAGAATTTTATCTTCTATTCGCTGTAGGTCTACCCATCTTTTTATCATCATAGACCGAAAAGATTTCACGGGCACCTTCACAATGGTACATTTTTTTTTTTAAAATATGAATATAGAAGCCATCCTTACAAGAATATATTAAATAGATTAATTTTATTTTCAATTAATAAAAAAATGATACCATATTTATATTGTTATAATTAATAAATAAATATTTAGAATTCTAAATACTTTCTAATGCATTTAGAATACATATGAGTATTATACATATCAGCAACTAAATAGCATTTATACTATTAAAATTTCTAGAAAAAGTTTGAAGTCAAGAAATCAGGTTTAGTTATATTATTATTTGTTCAGCATAGAATTTGAAACTACTGCTAGGATAAAAAATCCCCAAATTGCTTCAATTTTTAGAACATGGAAATAATAAAGACACGTGTCTCGCTCTTGTTCCACAGCAGCGATGGTCAGTGTTGTATTCTTCATAACAAATCCTCCACCGATCAACCAGCCAAGCGGATGACGAATGATTGTTCCTCCCTCTCAAATCCCCACCACCCAACGGCAAACAGATAAGACCGCCAGTCTCCGATGGCCGCCGTCACCGTCCTCTCTCCTTCCGCCTCCCCCGCCATAGCAGCCTCACCTAGGCCTTCACCATCCTCTTTTCCTTCAAAGCCCATCTCAAAGATCCCACCTTTATCCAAACCCCCCTCCAAGCTCTTCGTTTCCTCCAAAACCTCCACCTCCTCCTCAACCTCCTCGTCGATGGAGAAAGAAGAGCGCATCTTCTTCGACGGCGGCGCTCACTACGGTGACCTCGTCACTAACCTTCTATTAGGCTTCACCCTTCTCTGGCTTCCGCTCACCATCGCCGCCGTTTCACGCGCTTTCTTCCTCCGCTATCGCTTTACTAATCGGCGGGTCACTGTCATCTCCGGTTTCACAGGTCAAGATCGAACTGACTTCCCCTACTCGGCAATCAAGGACGTGCAGGTCGTGCCGAGATTGATCGGCGAGTGGGGGGACATTATCATTACTCTTAAGGATGGCACCAAGGTCGATATCCGCAGCGTGCCCAGGTTCCGAATGGTCTCCGATTATTGCCTCCTGATGGCGGATGGAGCTGCCAAGGGTTTACCGGAGCAGAAGGCCGTGTCGGGTCCCAGAGGGTTCTGATCTAGGGTTTGCTACGTCGGAGAAGAGGTCTGCGAAAAATTGTTTTTTTTTTCCGGGGGTCCTCTTTTTCCCTTACTCGTTTGGTTATTCAGGATAGAAGAGATGGAGGAAATCGAAATTTTGGAGCATTTAATTGCGCTATTTCTTACTGGATTTCGTTACATGTTTCCATCTCTGGTTTGTGTGTATTTAAAGGAACTCTTAATTACCATTTGCAGTCAGAATTATGAATTCTTCCGGAAGTAACAATATTTTGTTAAGCTTCACCATTTCATTCATCTTTAATAGAAAACATAGTATACCTCATATTGTTCTGGTTTTATTGAATCCAATGAAACTTTTTCATGAATAAGCATAGTTTTTTCGGCTTGCGAATGATGCAAACCGATTGTTTATGTGCAATATTTGTTCTTAATTCAAGCCTAAGTCTTTTTGCATCTTTTTAGTATGACATGAACTACTTTTAAAATGTTTGACTGCTATTATTCATAGCAATCATATATTCAATGGAAACGGAATGCATGGAGATGGAGTGCTTTTGTTTACAGACACAGAAAATTTTTTGAAAGTTGGGATTATTTATCCATGGGAAATGATTTTGTGGCATTGCATGGTTGAACAGGGACCTAGTGGTGGTTGGCATGTATCCATTGGCTCAAGCTTTTGATCTGCACAGAAATCTGCTAGTGAGTGCATGGAGCCCTACTCAAGGCCTTATTTTCTGCTAAAAACCTGTTACATGGTAACAGTTTGAGCGTTTGTAGTGTGTGAATCCTACCAAAGCCTCATTCTTCACTGAACTTTTTTCCATTATTTGCTTGGAGTGGGGTTGCAACGACTGGGGACATTGTTTCCTTGTGGGTTTCGAGGACTGAGCCTCCCAATCCAAAAATACTATGGAATATGCAAATTATTATGAAATTATATTGTGGGTCATATATTTTGGGAATGTCTTGAGGGAAGCAGATTGCTAATTTAACTCATTTTTTCTTTTAATGTGTTGAAGCATATCTGTTGGCTTAGATATTTGTCTTGTCATTTATGAAATCCTTTTCACGGCAAGTGCTGCGAATGAATCAATATACGTGATAAGCTACTAGTGGTTGAACTCTGTTATAGCTCATTTATGAACGTTTAATTGAAATTGAATGAAAAAGCTTGAATTGCTTGGTGTTCATTTTGTTTATTACCGTGAATTTTTCATTTGAAGTTGTTGAGAAAACTAGGGCGAAGAAAACAGTAATCGACACAAATCCAGAAGAACACAGAGATTTAACGAGGTTCGGCAAAGATGCCTACATCCTCGGGAGCAGAGCGGTGACCTCCTTTTCAATATTCAGAAAAGAATACAGAATACAAAATTCAACTCTCTCAAAGGCCTAGGATTACAAGCAGGTTTATTTATAATCTTAGAGTAAACCCTACAGTACAATATGTAATTCCCAAATTACCCATGTATCGTATAGCCCCAACCCACATAACGTAACTTCCAGATTTGGACAGATTCTTTCGCTCCGCTCCGCTCCGCTCCGCTCCGCTTCGTTCCAGCGTCTGTCCCTATATGGTATATGAGCCATAACATAACAAATCTCCACCTTGGCGAATATCCAGTCCCTTAGGAGAAAAGATACTTGTTCGTTACACCTGCACTAATGTGGGTTAGGCCATCATGCTTCTGCTGCGCCCTCGCTGTTCTCAACCCACTAAATTCCAAGAGACACATCTCTTCAATTCCAAGAGATATCTCTTCATTCCAAGAGACTCCAAATTCTGGTATTAACCTAACAATTCTCCCCCTTGACGAATATCCAGCCCTTTAGGAGAAAATCTCCACCTTGCGAATATTCAATCCCTTAGGAGAAAAACCATCACCTTGTGAATATGATATCCTATCCTTTAGAAGAAAATCTCCACCTTGCGAATATTCAGCCCCTTAGGAGAAATATATCATGGAGTTTCTTATGCACAAATGTGGGTTGAAGCACTTTTCTTGTTTGCGCCAGCACCTCGGCTAAACTGTTGTCTCGTGAGCGAAACCCTTCGCGAAATACCTCCGCGAAACCACTGTTCGCTAATAATCGCATCTACTCGCTCACCAGCACCCTACCGAACTCCACCTGTCGCAAACTACACTTGCGACGAACTTGCAAACTCCGCTGGTCGAACACCACCAAACTCCTCTGTTTGCAAACGCTCCTGTTCGCGGTAACTGCACACGAACTCCTGTTCGCGAACTCCACCTCGCCTAATGCCGCGAAGGTTCATGAACTGTCGCGCCTCAAAATCGCGACGCCGCCTCTACCGCGAACTCCCCGAAGCATAACTCGCCGAACTGCCGTAGCCCTTTATCCGAACTGCTTCGCATCTGTTCGTTCTCGCGAGCCCGTCCGCCTTGCGAACAATTTTGATCCTGAAACAAAACTTTTCTGCAAAAAATTCCTCTGCAAAAATCCTTGCTTAGACCTCCTTTTTTTTTGTTTTTTTTTTTTGAAAAAAAGGAAAAATGAAAAATTGAAATATTCAAGCAAAAGAAAAAAAAATTTCCTCTCCGCCTCCAAGAAAAGAAATAAATATTTCCTTTATTTCTTCTCCTTATTCAGCAAAAGAAATCCTTAATTAAATTTGCTTAATTTGAAAACTTTCCTTTAATTAAGCAAAATTCAAAAAACTTCCCTGTAATTCAAATTTCGACTTCCTGCAGCAAATGAAAATTTCTTAATTCCCTCCAACTTTCTTCCAGCAAAGGAATCAAATTTGAAAGCCTTCCCTGCCAATTTTCGAATTTTTCCTCTGGCTTCGGATTCCCTTCCAATTTTTTCCTCTCCAGCAGCTTTCCTTTATTCCCTTGATCCTCCCGCCTGCAGAAAAGGAAACAAGCCTCCAACAAGGAAAATTTAGCAGCAGCAAGGATATTTGAAAATCCTTCCTAATTTTAATCTTCCAAGACAGCAAAGTAGCCTCCTGTCTAGGGATTCCCTTCTCTCCGCTGCCAGCAATGGAATGTCCGAATTTAATTCTTCCCTCTGCCGCAGGACCGCTCCTTCCTTTTCTTCTCCTCCGCAGCAAATTGCGATCTCCAATTCGCCAAACTGCTCTTCTCCGTCTCCGGAAATCCAAAATTCTCCCGACAGGAATGGAGATAGCGAATTCCTCCGCTTCTGCCTCTCCTCCCTATCGCACAATAGATCCTGGTCGCGATCTCGATCTGTTCCGAGTCGCGAGATCTGCGGTCTGTTCCGAGTCACCGGAGCTGCGGAGGATCTGCGAAATCTGCTCCTTCGAACTCCATCGCGAACGCCTCCCTTTGTGTCGCCTGAATCACGCCAGATTCGTTCGCCTGTCGCAAGCCCCTCGCGCCAAGCCCGAAAGCCGCCGAATCTTCTTCCTCGTGCCGACGAAATTTCTTTCTTGCCCTCGAACCAGGCTCTGATATCACTTGTTGAGAAAATTAGGGCGAAGAAAGGGCGAAGCGACACAAATTCAGAAGAACACAGAGATTTAACGAGGTTCGGCAAAGATGCCTACATCCTCGGGAGATGC